AGCAAGAGTCATTTCCACACAACCTTGTCCTCGATGTATTCTTGGACATTATAGTAGGCCCTTTTAATTAAGATAGCTTTTAAAAAATTACCTCGCCATTGTACACAAACATATTTATTTATGATATTGATAGATAATAATAAAATAATTAACGTATCTTGCTTTTAGCATAAACATATGCTTGAACAATTTTTTTGTTTTGCTTTTTAAAGCAAATTTAAATGTCATCAGAAAATGTCGTACTTTTTACGATCCGCGAACAGAGTTCATTGAGCGCAAGGCATTCATAATAAAATGCTTACGGCAAGAAAAATTTTAGTCTAGAGACAGGGCGTGTATTCTTATCCCCATGAGGACAAGCATAGACAATAAATTTCGTTAAAATGTACATTTTATTCATCCTAGTTTGAGTATAGTCTGTACCTCCTAATAAAAATTAAGACAGGAATGTTGACACACCGAAGTCAAGTGTGAGTCGGACTCGCGCACGAAGGGTTCCGTATCATTATCCATAAAAATGGAAAAAAATCTTGCCTGTTGTATGGGAGGACCACTTAAATATTATTATTCTGTTTTTTAGTATTCGTAGCGGCAACAAAAATGCATCATCTGTGAAAAATTCAACTGTCTACCTATCGCGGTTCATGAAATACAACCCGGTGACAGACAGACAGCGGAGTCTTAGTAATTTAGGGCCCCGTTGTACCCTTGGGTATGGAACCCTAAAAATAGTAATACATTTATTTTGTTAAATTATATTTATTTTTTCATCTTAAGCTAAGGGCTGCAATGGACAGCCTCTACCAGTCAAAAATTAATATGTACGGTTTTTGTTTGTATATTGCATTGATTTGGCTTTGTTTTTACGGTGATAGGGCCTGGCAGCAGCCTCGGCTGTTGCACGAATGGGCAGGCCCGTCCGGGTAAGTACCACGACCTCACGAAGACCAGCGTAAAGTGTAAACATGGAAGCATGTTTCGTCTGGTGAGTGAGGTAGCCGGAGCCATTTACAAAATGTTGTCAACGCATCTGTAACCATCGGGTGTAGCAGATGTCCATGGGCGGCGGTATTCACTTACCATCGGGTGAACTGTCTGCTCGTTTGGCAACTTTTCACACATAAAAAAAAAGAAAAAAAAACTGAAAAACGAGAGAAGTACCTGTTCGGCTCCAAATCAATGTAAGGTTACTGTTCTATCAATGATTTGATTTTCTTGCAGTTTGACTTTAGTTGGAGAATTTAAATGCTCGATTTTCTCTACATAACATTAGGACAAGCAAGAGTTTACAAGGCAATGTTATGAAAAATGTAAAAGACCATCGCCGTTGTAAAATTGTAAGATATAATTTGTGATTTTTGTAGCCGCTTTGGATTTGGGTTCAAAAATTCATAATGTTTTTATTTCTTATTGATAGAAGAGGGAAAGATGATAGAGTGGTATTAGAGAGGTTTCAAAGCACGTAGTTACCTGGTCTTTGCGAAAAAATGTTTCTGAATCTCAACTTGTTTAAAAATAAATTCTTTTTGTTAGGCTGTTGGTTTTCAAATGCTAAAAATTTTTCGGTAACGAAAATATTTTATTAGCCTAGAGAGTATTTAGATTTCGTTGGTAACGAAATGTATTAGAGATTGGAAACTGAAAAACGATCTGTTAAATGCAATGATGTATGTATCAGTTTAACTTCCTTAACGCGTCCAGAATGAGAACCTTTGGCAACCTTAAAGCGCACTAGGCGCGGCCTCCGAATCTATCGGCGCAGCGACCGATCCAACACCATCCGAAGATCCACCGGGTGGAAGAACCGGCACCAGCACCGTTACCACTCTGTTCGCATCACGTAAAAAAAATTACAGTTAACCGGAGTCCGCCGCGCGCCGTCGACGGAACGAAAAAAGCACAATCCGCCGCCACACCACGTCACTAGGACGTATGCGAGCGGCTTTCGAACTAATGCGCGGGAACTTTGACAATTCTTAGTCAACGGCTAGTTCGGAACTAGCTGATCGGTTGGTAATTTTCTCAGTGCCTATGCTGTGCCGCCTAATAAGTGCTTGAAACATTATAGTAGTGTCAAAGTTATGTCGGAGTTCGGATAACGTCAACTGATTGTGTTAATTAGCAAGTGACATTGGATTCTTGTTTTTGAATTTCTTTAAGGATTGTTTCGCAAAATGCCGAGCACTATACGAGGTGAGTTTATAATATTTAAACTTGACTACGGGCCGTCGATATAATTGTTTTTCTTAGTCATTGCGGTCAGCCGCATAAATTGTGAAAGGTGAATGCACTTTTCTGTTTTGTTGACGGAAGGATTTGTGAGTAACAAAAGGCGAAATTTGAATTTCATACGGCAGCTGCCGTCTCACATTTCCAAATTAGACATGTGTCACTTTCAATCATGTTTACGTCTTAAAAGTGGCGCCATTTTATTTATTTCCTTTTAGAGTTTTTCGCGTAAATGTCTTTTAAAATATGTTTGATTCTGAATATATTGCTTTATTATTATTATTGTCGTTTTTTTTTAAATTGTCCGTTGTCTATTGCTCTGAATTATTATCGTTACTCTGAAATACTTTTTCAAAATTTGAGTTACGCATTAAAAATAAAATTCCATTAGCATTTTTGGTTGTTATTTAAAAAACTTGTCAATGAAGCAACTATAACTAAAAAAACAAATGTCAATAGTCAAAAAGTCGCAAATTATTTCTTATAAATTTACGATATAAATAATGATAGCTGAAATAAAACTTTGCCGTGGTAAAAATTTGCCAAATCTCGGGTCAATGACATTAGTAATAACGTTATAAAGTAAGAGGCGCATACTGAGAAGCATCTTACGTTGATGGTTTATAACCTTGTAACGTACAAAGGCCGCTAAATATTTCAAACTATTACATAGGTACATTAATCAAGTCTAACTAAAAAAAAATTATGTACGATTATGAAAACGTACTCAAATAAAAATTTGACTGCCAAATTTAAGTCCAAGATTTATTTCAAATTATGAGTTAAAATAAACTTCATATAGGTATCGAACAAAATAGCATTATAACGCGACTTTTAAGAATGGTCCAAACGATCGTGGTTTGTCTACAAATTTTGGCGCGAAAATGGCGGGAAGAACTGCGTCTTAGAAAACATGTAAATGAAACGATTTGGGGCAGCCTAGATTTACATAAGGGGATAGAAATTACATATATGGGAGTGACCTTTACGACGTCACGACCTTGTAACATTTAATTATAATAATTTTATGAGCCCAAGAATCCATTCATAACGGTGTTTTATTACAATTATCTTCTAATTTCTTAGAATAAATGTCGAAAATGAATAAATGGATACTATTTTTCACAGAGCATATGAATGAATGAATGAATATTCTTAATCGCACACACCAAGGAAAAAAAGAATACATTAAAAATAACAAATATGTAAGGGTAATACAATGGGCGGCCTTAGAAATACGTAATTAGAAATGAAAATAATACATTAATAAATTGGTAATTTATTACATCATAGGCGATTACCATTGAAGGTAGCTTTGTGAAACATTGCATTGTCGAAAAATATTAGTAATGTTCACTACAGTTTAGATATATATCTATAAATACATTTTCTGTAGACTTATTTTTTCTCCAACTCTAATAATGTTGATTATAAAGTGGGATAGTCGTAGCTATAGATAATAACTAACTTTTAAATTATAATTTTACGTAAATTTATATGGTATAAATCAGTTTTCTCTGTAATCGGACTTGTATAGATAAAAAAATAATGCATTTGTCCAAAACAGTTACATAAAACCGACAAGTGAATAATTTGTCAGTCTTGCTAAGAAGCCGAAACGAACGGTTCCTTCCATTCATATTCAAGAAACTCAATTCATAAACTTAAGTATGTCCCATAAAATATACAAAATATTTTTATATAAACTATCTCGGCTAATATCTCGGTGGTAGGGCCACGCAGCAGCCTCGGCTGTTGCAAGAATGGGCAGGCCCGTCCGGGTAAGTACCACGACCTCACAGAAGACCAGCGTAAAGTGGAATTATGACAAATACTTTCGCGTTTCGTGTGGTGAGTGAGGTAGCCGGAGCCCAATTTCCAAAAGGTTGTCAACGCATCTGTATCCCTCGGGTGTGGCAGATGTCCATGGGCGGCGGTATTCACTTAACGTCAGGTGACCCGTCTGCTCGTTTGGCAACTTTACACATAAAAAAAAAAAAAACTCAAATACTAAAGAACGAAATACTACGAAAGACGGATATTTTTTGGTTGAAAATAATTGTTTTTGAAGACTCTGCGTCAAGTCAAACGATCGTCCGTTGCGGCCTTTAACACTTCCTTGGTACGAGGCGTACGACAGAAAAGCGACAGTTTTGCGACCGCGCGCCGCTACCAAGGCCCTCTGTTTACCGTTGCTCACAGTCCCTTTCTTCGTGACGTAGAAGCGTACGGTACTCCGCTAGTGAGGGGACGGTGTTGTTTTTGTCGACGTGACCCGTGCCGCCCGGTGCGCCGCACCAACTGCAGTTGAGCTTTCATAGTTATAATTAGATTTCATATCGATTATGTAGATTATATAAGATTATGTAGGAATGTTGAAGGAAATCTAATTTGGTTATTTATACATTTATATATTTTTATAGCTTCAAAATGTGTGTGTGTGAATCCGTTGCATTTTGCAGTATTACGGTCTACCTGTACATTTGGTGGAAGATGATAAACGAGCGGACTATTCAGTTGTTAAGTCGAGTCCATGCACATCCTAACAGTACATTTATTTTAGTTGGATGTCTTTAATAGGTTGAGTCTACCAAAACTACTTTTTCCTCAGCCATACTTCAGTGAGGTCATGGTATTAACGCACGAGCAATCTCATTCATTCAACAGCAGCCGCTACCGCTTTAATGTCGTATACTGCAACAGTCGTAATTTGCGAATGTCGCGGAACGTTCGGTTTTGATTAAAACTGTCGATATAGTCGCGCCCCGCCCATGTCGCCACACTGGCTGTGTGACGTGACGCTGCTAACGGTGCGCGCAGTTAGCCTCACCCACATACTGTGTAACTGTGCGCGCCTCCGTTATGTGGACGCGATCCGAGACGCCGAGCCACGCCGCGCCGTGCCGTGGGACCGCCGCACTCGGTTCCACGTAAAAAATCGATGTTTACACGCGCCGTTGACGAATGTGATATCGATTCGATAATTGAATCGTAGTCTTTAATTCCAATTATCGGTTGAATCCTTCAAAAAAGCTGCCAAAAATTAGTTTACTTTGGAACTGACAAACTTATCAGGAGATTGTATTTCTGTTTTCAAATCTTTTATGTGGCAATAATTAGCTTCTTTTATTTTAAATATTTAATGGTTCAAATTTTTCATCATCTTATCACATTTTTATGAACTCAATTAATACATATTACAATATTATTAAAAAAACGTGCGTTGAATGTAGAGCATTCAATTTAGCAATAAACTGATTTTGCACGTAATGTAAAGGTAATGAAACCTGAGAAGTTGTTTAAATATCTATTATTTTAATGGATTTGCACAAAGAAATGGTAAATTTTCCGATATATGTCAAAGTAGCTGCGGTTTTCATTTTCAGCGAGTCAAAGTGTACTCCACATAATCCACGCCCTGAGATAATAAAACCGATGCTTGACCTACCCGACCAGCTTAACGTCCTCTACAAGTTTATAATTAATATTTATGTATGATTAAAAAATTACGAGAATTTTTTTAAATTAAATAAATCAAAATCACTTTGTTATTTTTTTTATTAGCTTATGATATTATTATATTTATAGCAAAATATAATTCGGTATAATGGCCGCCCCGGATTCGCCGTAAATAGAGCCCCGGTGGATCTATTTTGAACGACATCTTCGTATAAATAGTTTAATTTCACAGAAAGTAGAAGTATGTACACTATCTTTCCGGTATCTTCTTCCTTGTATTTCCTTGTGTGCAACTTTATTTTCTAAATCTTATACCCTAAGTTTGTCTGGAACTTTAATAAAAGTATATTCAATCAATCAATCAATCAATCAATAATCTCAATTTAGTCTTAAGAAATCGACAACTGTTGCTTTACTAGGATAGCCGCTACAAGCTGTCAAACTTCGAGCGTGCCTTACAAAAAACTGTGTATCTTGATTATGCCTAGATAACGTAACCTTATTCTTCGAGCAAACCAATTAAAGAAGTCTACAGACTGCCGTGACCACATACTCAAGCGGGATTATCGCATATTTGCCACTTAAATTAACATGAAATTTTCGGGGGGTTAAAGAGTGCATTTGAAAATTTGACGGTGCAACACGCAACGTCGTTGTTTTCAGGCATTTTTATAAGAGAACTAATTTACTATCCATATACTAGTCTAGGTCGTTATTTCCAAAGTAACACGAAAGCGTCTAGACAAAAGAGCAATATTTGTGTTCGTTTAATTACAGATTGCGATTAGTTAGTTCTAAAGGTCAACGACCGGAAATTTTGGTGGCAGTATTACACTAAAAAGGTTTTTCATCTTTTGATTAATTTTTTTTTGATTAATTTTTATTTTTCATTCCTCAAGTATTATACGAATATTTGTACATGGTAGTGTTTTCTTGAGCACCTTAGATGCACGCAGCAGCTTCTGCGGTCGCGCGAATGACATACACTGTGGATAAATACAAAAAACTGCAGAGTACAATTTGTAATGATATATTAATTTTATAAAGTTTTCATATTTTTTTAATTTTACCTGGTGAGGGATTAAACCAAGTGGCCTATCTTAGCTTGGCAAGGCGTAATGAACCATGGGTGCCGAACAAAATTGGTAAACATAACAGTCTAATGATTTGAATAGTAGAAGTATGCAAGAAAATTTGTTTGTTCTTTAGAAAATTACAGTAAAACGAAAATTTATTTTAAATTTCCCGATGAATAAAAGTCGATTAAATTAAAAAAATGTAGGACAAGTAGTGTAAGAAATTTAAATGCCCGGGTGTTTTAATAGTGTGCTTCGTGGCAGTCTGTGGGGTGGCTTATGTTCAGCAGTGGACTCTAACTGGCTGAAATGAATGAATTCATTCATTCATTCATTAAGAGTGTAGAGCTATGCAGACTAATTTGGCGTCACTCTATTTCTCCTTGATATACATTACGTACTAAATTAAACTATATTCACGGATTTATCGCAGTTATCAGCATAGTTTCATTAAGTAATGTGTAATTGCGTAAATACAAGAATTTATTATCGAATACGCAGTTTAGTTTGGATCTTTTTTACCCTTTTTTACCCTGGTAACTATCTCCATGCCCAATACATAGTTGATAGTATTTACGCAGTAATCACTTGCAGCTTTTGAAGAAATGGAGTGCTCCGCACTTCTTAAGGTCTTTGAATAGTTATTTAACACTGGCGCTTCTTAAAACCTTTTATGAATGTTCGGAAAGAGTTCAAAAGAATAATTCAAATCGTACTAGATTTATTGGTTTGAAAATGCTTTTTCTAGCGTAAATCATTTTAGCGGTATTCCTAATAGATTTGTAATCATTACCATATCTCAATCAATCCACGTTATTTGTTAACGTCCGATTGGTTATAGATTTACGTACCGAAAGAGTTCGTTCACCTTAACCGGTTCGCGACTAGAGACTTGAGTTTTTTTTTTAATAAAAGGCATTACGCTTTGTGCCGTTATGTTTGTAGTATAATATTGGACATGTTTTATTGAGTGTGGGAAACCAATTAAGTTATTTCTATGTTTATTAATGTCTTTATGCCTCTACAGCTATACCTTTTCTTCATTTTTATAACAATGTGCTGCTAACAACAAAAAAAGATTCAAAAAAAAAAAGGAATTGACAGATTAATCATTCGTATAAAATTTTAAACTGCTAATGAAGTTAACACGTCATTATTTTTCTAGAAAATTTATAAAACAGTGAATTTTATATTTTAGCCATCAATATAACAACGAAATATAGAAGGTTTACTGGAAAATTATCAAAATGTTATGACATTATAAATTATTCAAGCCTTTTATAAATCTAGTACATCATATGGTGACCTTGCGTAAGGTTACCTAGATAATCTAGGTTTCATTTGTGACCTAGTTTTCACAAAAACTAAGCACACATGACATAAGACACTAACTTCCCCCACGTATAAATTCTGACCTATTTACAAAAGAAAAACGGTTCCACTTTTAAAATTCGCGCCACGAGCGAATCTACGTGACAGTTGGCGACTTAAAAGAACCGTAAGGCCTAGGGTTGTGTAGACGAATGTTCAGAAGATTGTTATATTAATCTGAAAGTTTGGTAAGTATCTAATACAATTCAATTATTAGGTAGCTATTTATTTTGATTTTCGAATATATCATTCTACCATATCGCAAATACTAAAATTTTAAAAAGCGATATTACAATAGCCCTAGGTTATAAGACTGAAAAATGCACTAAATTATTAGATGAAAATAATATATACTCAGTTTTTTGTAATCACTTAGTTAAATTTGAACGTTAGTATTAAATTAATTGAAATTTTAGAAATTAAAAAAAATTTGCGATAATGCGACATCCTTAGCAACGATGACAGAATATTCGGAATATCATTGCACAACGGACACGCATTCTGTTCGGGGGTCAACGCACGCGGTTCGGCTGCCTCCCGTTAGGCGGGGCACGTGACTGCAGGTGGTTTTACTTTTAAATTTGCAATTTAGTACCGCTATTGGATAATAGGGGCCGCTGACTTATGTCACGTACGAGCGTGTTGACTGTGGCCAGCGCGGCGCACTACGCACGTTGGCGAAAATCGAAATCCAACTTTGTGATGTTTCATTAAGATAATTCCTCATTTGGTTATTTCTAGAATTTGCCAATGTAACTTTCTTTTAAGGACTTACTAGTTTGCTTCGGAACGCAGAACAGCTAATCTCACTGGGTGGGATTTTCGTAGATAAGTTAACAATATAATTTTTTGTTATCTCTACTATTATGGTTGAAGGCGTACTGTGACACTGCGAAGGGGCCATCGTAAATCTGAAGTACAAGTGTATGATTTTGCGTTTCGGACGGGGAATGAGCAATATGGAGACTCACAACTTCTCTGGTGGATAGGAGAATCGCTTCTTCGATTATCAACTTTTTTTAATTAGTGTGTTAGTCGGCCCTACGGTGCTAGGGCCATGCAACACCCTTCACTGTTGCATGGTCGGGCAGGGCCGTCCGCGTAAGTACCACGAACTTACAGAAGACGTCGTTTTCGTCGTTTTCGTCTGGTGATTAAGCTAGCCGGGCCCACTTTATTATAAGGTGGCAATGCTTCCGCAACCCTACGGGTGCTGCAAATGGCCATGGGCGGTGGTTGTCACTTACCATCAGGTGAACCGCCACCGGCGTAAAGCAGAAGTATAACAATTCTAATTTACGCCGGTCTTCTGTGAGGCCGTGGTACTAACCCGGACGGACCTGCCCATCCGTGCAACAGCGAATACTGTTGCGTGGTCCTACCACAGTGAAAATACTCTATTTTATTCAATCTATTTTATTTAGCTCCACATCAACAACACCTGTGTTGATGTCTGTGAGTAGAATCGGGGAATTGATGTCCGTGGGGGTAACCAGCAAGCAGGCCTTGCCCTTATTCATTATTTATCCTAATAGCATTATAATTATAAATATTTTATACAACGTTTTCTAGTCCCAAACTAAGCAGCACTTGTACTATGGGTACTAGATAACTGATAAACATACTTTTCTTTTGTAAATAAATACATTTTAAACGGTTTCATTTAGCTTGACCTGTTTGGGTCAAATCTACTAATTGAAAGTTTAAACCTTTCTGTTAAATTTTTTACATGTTTTATCACTACTTCCTCAAAATGGGTATCAAATGAAAGGGCTTGAATAGCAGGACAGAGTTATCTATGAAAATAAAATGAAAAATCCAATATGGCCGGCAACAAAATGGCAGGTTCATTTTTCTTTTCACAACCCCTTCAATATGGGTATCAAATAAAAGGACTTGACTAGTAGGATATATTGAATATTTAGCAAAAATTAAAAAGAACTTGAAAACAAAAAAAAAATAGTAAAAGAAAAAACTTAAACTTTTAACTTAAACGGTTTTATTGAAAATAAAGATTAAAATTATGTAAACAATGTACTAAAAGCTAAAAAATAATTCGTTAGGTCCTAGCTACT